CAACCAGGAGGTCTGGTCGACGACCAGGCTGCGGGGACACTAAGCCCCGGAAGCACCTCAAGGTAACCTCAAGGTAGGCCAAGACCATCAGTAGTTTCAAAGCGTTATGACAGTGCTGGGAAGACGGTACACCACAAGCGTAGCTCTCATCCTGTAACTACACTTAGGTAATTACTGAAAGTGACCTTCACCACGGTCATCGCAGCGATCCACGCCAAAGAACACGGCCTTAAGTGCGCCGGAATTACGATTCCACCTGCCCGCATGACCAAGGAATGATACACGGAGCTCCGCCAGTGCTTCAAGTGCTATTAGTACTCCCACTACACCAGTAAGTGCACCGAGCAAGTGCAGAAATGCAGTATCTGTGCCCAGGAGCATCACTACTCAGCCTGCACATCCTCCCATTGACGCTGCCTACTCTGCAGTGGCCCGCACACTGCAGTTTCGCCTGACTGTCTCCATTGGCAGAAGGAAATAAAAAAGATGGAAAACACCACCTCAACTCGGCTAGCCAAACCGCCTTCGTCTGCTGCCCCGGCCTTGCCCGAGAACACTGGGGAAGCTGCTGCAGTTACCACCACCCTCCTACCGGTACTTCTACACCTCGCCGACAAATTGGCAGGTAACGATGTCAACCTATACCTCCACACTATCAACAGACTGCTCACTGCAAATGGACTTCCGACGGTGACGGTACCAGGCGACCTTTTCCCAGCTCCTCCACCTGCTACTGGCCCAGCGTGCGACCCTGCAACAGGACCCACAATCAGTCCGGTAACAGGGACGCCACCCACACTGGCTACCCATGCCAACGAAGACACCACATCCAAAGACGACAACGGACCACCCAAAACTTCCACAACTAACACAGAGGCTCTCCAGAGCTGCCACCGAAGTCGACGACAACGACCTTGCGACTGACGACGAAGACGACGACGAAAATAAAAATACTTGTCATGTGCTGTTCATTCCGCAGAGTTCAATGGCAGTGCGCACACCAGATGACAATTGGCCCACAGATGTAACAAGATAATCGGCCAGAACAAATACCCGCACCCCATGTATGTCCACGCCCACACCATGAACGCCTGCATTGATCTCTCAATACTGAAAAAAGAATACCCAGACCCAGAATTCCTCCGGAAATTCCAAGACGGACAAATTCAATTCCTCAAAGGATGGCGATCCTGATGGTACCACACTAGCGAGGTTGCTCTGTTCAAATATACAGCGTTGCTTTGCACATTAACACTTTAGTGCGCGCGGCACTCGCTGAAAAAAAAAAGCGGGTTGTGCGCGCGGCGTTCTGGGCGCTCAAGCGTAAACACAAAGTTTATAATCTTTTCACGCTCCTAACATCAATTCTCGAGCTACGTTTTTCATTTTGGTATCAATGCGTTGGCAATAAAATTCTCTACAAGATCATATGCATAAAATGTCACCCAAGCATTTGCTATACCACCACGAAGTAAATAAATATGAAGATGACTCGCCGTGACACCCAAACAGGAAGTAAATGTTCATACTCTTTCGTTTGTTGCCAGCCTCACAGTCATCCTACAGCGCTTATTTTGATATCACTTAACTCGCAATAAAATTCCCCACCCAGACATATGCCTATCAATGTCTAATTATGTTCCGCACGAGTGTGGGAACTGGGCGAAGCGTTAGCCGTGATTTCAGCAGCGACGACACTGTTGTGATGCAGCGCTTTGAAAGTTTATACTTATTTCACTGTCATGACATTTTCTCGAGCTACGCATTTCATTTTTATAGCAATGTGTTCGCAATAGAAAGTTCTATAAGAACATGGGTAGAATTGGCCAACAGTGTCAAATAAATTTGCGGCGAATAAAATCTTACGCGAATCTTACGCGTGTTTGTACCCGTGAGCGTAAAAAGTTTTTACTTTGCTCATGTTTTTTCAAGTTTATACTTGATTCACTCCGTTTTTTTTTGTTTGTATAGTGTTCGGAATAAAATTCTCAACACAGACATGCATATAAATGTAGAATCATGATCGCGGCCAACACAAGAGTGTGTGGAGTGCGCGATTACCCTCGTTGTCACCAATTCAATAGTCTCTCCTCTAAGTTACAATACATTGCCGTTTTCTCAAATAGGCACAGTGCCTATTAGAGAAAACAAAAATTTAATGGCAAACATATTCATACAAACCCCAAGTCGATCGAGTAGTAAATACCCAATATAACACGGTCCGTAAATTTACGTCGTGATCCAACAAGCGGTTAAGCAAACCGCCTGTAATTCCAAGTGGAAAATCCAGGAAAGTGTTAAATTGCAACCTGGCGACTAAGCCTCCTGCGGGCCATAAACTGCGAGCGACCATGAAGATCCCATTCATCCACAGATCCCAAATACCAGCTATTGGTACTGGTATTGGCTCCAAAAGGGCCTCCACTTACGGGTTATTCGTGCCCGTTGCCCTATTGGGTGGCTTAATCTTTATCAATCATCAATCATGTGATGACCCCAACTAATACAGCACTTTCAGTATGGATAGCTTCAGAGAGCCAATGGGGCTCCCCCACAGAAATAAATATTGAATAGAATGAAGTCTATATATTCTCCTGATAAATATAGATAATGGGTTTAAGATTTTGCATCATGAGACATTAATCATATTAACACTTTCGCGTCCCCTGGCAGGTGCGACCCAGTCTACCTCGATGGGTGCCAGGCGTTTCGTATCAGTGCACGGCCAGACTAGAATGTGTTTTTCAGTTTTCTCACCTCAATTCTTGTGCTACGTCTTTCATTTTTGTATCATTGTGTTCACAATAGAATTTTCCTACAGGGGTACATGTATACAAGGTCCAAAAGCCCCCCCCCCCTCCCCTACGCAAGGAAGAAAGTCGACAAAGCATTACCCGTGGGCAAGCACCTAATGGCACACAAATGTGTACTCTTCTCAGTTTTCTCACGTCAATTGTCATGTTACATCATTCATTTTGGTATCAAAATATTTGCAATAGACTTCTCTAAAGGGATATTATGCATATTAGGTCAAAATGCCCGTCTTGTCACCCACAGTAAATCCGAAAATCTGCCAAACGTTTCACGGGTCACGTTATGACCCATGAACGAGCACCCATCCCCACACCCACAACACCCCCACTAAAATGTGTTTTCTCACATCCATTTTCGTGTTGCATAGTTCATTTTGGGATCAAGATGATCGCAATAGAAATCTCTAAACGGATATATGCATTCAAAGTGAAAAAAATCCGGCATGCCACCTGCAGCAAATCTGAAAATTGGTAGTGTTACCCCATGAGTGTTACCAGTCAATTTTCGTGTTGCATTGTTCATTTTGGTATCAATTTGTTTGCAATATATTTTTCCAAAGGGATATATATATATATAAAGGTAATAATACAGTCGCGCTACCCACAACAAACTAGAAAGTCCGCTGAACATTACCCATGAGCAAGCACTCGTCTGGACACCAACACTAAAATCTGTATATTATGTTCAGTTTTCTCACCTCAATTTTCATGCTACGTCGTTCATTCTGGTATCAAATGGTTCGCAATCTAAAACTGCGCATTTTAAAACTAGTCCCATAATGATCGGAAATTGAAGTTTTGACATTTTAATTTTGGACGTCATGGCTGTCCATTTTGCACATCCGCAGAGTTAACCCCTAAGCTGCTCATGGGTATTTGGCCTTCAACACCCACAGGCACGCGCAAAAAAAAGTCTTGAGTGTTCGTTTGTGTCCTGCTCACAGGAAAATAATAAAAAAATGATAGCTGGCATATTTTTGAGGCAATAGGGAGGGGAAGTCTGGCAAAAAGACATTGACAGAGGAAACGCCGAAGGCAGTCGGCTCTGCCCGAGCTGTCAAGCGGGAGTTGCTACAAAGACATTATCTAATTGAATACTGCATATCTAATTTTTTCTAAGTATTTTCTGAAGTAATATTCAATATTGTTTAGTGATACATTTATATAATAAAATGTGTGAATCATCGTTATACTCAAAGGTATCGTGATCATATTAATGATTCAGTTATGTTCATAACACCAAAACTATTTGTTTGTTTTATTAAACTATATATATATACTTGTTGTATATAATTATCTACATGTTTTGTTCACCTTAGCAAACAACTAAGCTGGTATAGTAAGTGCAGACAGTAAATGGTGGCCAGACAGATTTGGCAGATGACGCTACAGCCTTCCCTCCCTCAACAGTGCTCCTCACTCAGCACAGTGCAAATTATCACAACAATCCTGCTATTATCAGAATCCTGGGCATTTTTATCAGTCAGGGGTCTTCTGTAATACTATCATCACTAAATAAGGTCAGTTACATATATTTGACATTTTTAGGCGATTCTGTAGTCACAAGCTAAACAGCAGTGCTGTGAGCTCATGCTGCAGGCACCAGCCTTGGTGGCTCACTCAGTACTGAGGCTTTCACACCCTGGAATGTTCCCCAGTTTTTTTTTTAATGGCATCTCTTGTAAAGAGCCCCTAAAGAAGCTGATGTGAACCCAGTGTAGCCACGAGCCATGTAAATCTTGCGTGGTACTAAAAAAGTCATATGAAAGGGTGTGCACTTTCCCCTCGGTTACTCAACACGTCATATGAAGTGTTGCACAGTTTAAGGGGTTAATTGTGTGTGTCACAGATGTCCACGGGGGACGAAAGTGTTAATTTCTATTTTAAATTTTCAGTTTGGCAGTTTTTGCTCACAGAAACATTTAATTTTATAAAGGGTTTTGACAATTTTCTAAGCACTATAGTATACAAAGTACAACTTTTCTTAATCTCGAAACCTGTTCATTTTAACATTGTGCGTGAGAACCTTTGAGTTTAGTCTTTACATACTACTTTGACATGCAATAGTGCTCTAGCAAGATTAAACAAATTGGAATGTTTTATAGAAACCTAGCCTAGTTTTATCTTGGTTATACTCTGTGGCTGCATGTAAATTCCTAACAAGTGTCAATTTTTTTCCTATTCAAGAATTGAGCTTGGTGATGGTGCACTAAAAGATTTCCTGGAAAAGACAACATCCCTGTCGCCGGAAGAAAGAGGTCACGCATTAGAAAGTGATGAGGGTATTTCCAAAGCTCACGATGAATCGGCACAAGAAGGACAGACAGAGGTAATTGGCTTTATTGGTTACTAGTAAAGTGAAATATTCTGTGTATGCAGTGTATCCTTTCCAATATTTACAGACTTCTAATATTAGTATATTTAAAAATTTTAAGATACCACTTAGTGCAATACTGTAGAGGAATTACTGGGTTTGTAATAAAATACTATTGTACTTTAGAAAAAATAACTACTGTACCTGTAAAGAGGGGTTAAATAGTTTGGTCAAGTTTTCATATGTGTGCATAGTTGTCATCTAGTTCTCATGAACCCTCATACCCACTTATTATTGAATGTATTGTATAGTAAACATTAACTGAATGTTCCTACAGATATAACAATATATTGGACAATTTTTATTTTATTTTTTATTTTATCACAGACGTGGCCACACATTTACAAGGCTAACCAACATATATACATTTTCTTCTGTTCTCCATAGACAGGGTGAGAGATTTGTTTAAACATATAGTTCAGGGATTTATTGAACAGAATAAAACCACAGAAGGTGATTGTAGTGCTTCTAAAATGCTTTTAAAATGCTAATCTAACCTACAGACATAAATACATGGATATAGTTATGTATGCCCTACATAAAGTGGTTGATGTGTCTTTTTACATAGTGTCATTAGTGTGTATTTACAGAGGGGAAATGTAATTCTGATCAGCTTCCACATATACTTTATATACATACATATGCATGCATGCATACATACATACATACATACATACATGCATTCATTCATTCATTCATGGTTCTACTGAGAGGGTAAGACATCTGATAGATAAAATAGTGTTATTAATTTAAGCACTTAACCGCTGAAGGTGATTAAGATGCTTTTACAAGCTCAGGTTATATAGTTACATCACATACATTGTATAATTGATACATTACATGGTCAATCTTGGGTACAAGTCCAATATATCAAGTGTTCCAGTATTCATATAGTAATTAGAGTTCAGCATACCTCGGCCCAGGAGGGCAAAAGTCAGTCAATATGGGACATTCTACAATATAATGTTAAAGGGAGTGCATGTTTTCTCTCAAAGTTGACACATTCTGTACTTGACATTTTGGTTTTGAAAGCTTCCAGATATGTCTATATCTCGGGTGTATTCTGGCCACTATAACATCACATTGCCGAGTTTTTGCCCTATTAGTCCCATGTGCAAATGTCTCCTCACGATATCTATCATAATATTTAATACTACAACTTTCAGGGCTTTGTGAGTTTGTTAGGTCGGTGAGATTTTCATTAGATATTTAAGTATTCTCTTTGTCACTGCTAATGAAATGCCCATATCAATTTCTACTACTGGTTTTCTTCAGGCTGTCTTTGCAAGCTTATCAAGTCTCATGCCTTGAGATGCTAACATGTAATGGTATCCATAGGAATTAAATTTCAAATTGTTTTCTTTAGCAGCTAAAACATTCATTCGAATATCACTGTTTTCTGGGTGTTACTATTATGTGCGTTCAATGCCAGGAGTGCACTCTGCGAGTCACAGTATAAAAGTCCACTGCCTATTTCTTTTTAAAAATTCAGTGGCAAGGTATGTGCCTGCAAGTTCAGTTTGAGTTGTACTTGCCCAATCATTGACTTGCTTCATTGCTGTATGTACGAGAGAAGATTGTTCAAATATATTACATGCACATCTGGTACATAGTCCACCTTCTACAGAACCATCGGTATAGCACTAATAGTTACCCATACCCCTGAGTACTGTGATGCTTTTCAGTGTTAACTGCTCTAATAATGTAGTGTGTACACTATCTTGGATGCAATTACAGAATCAACTGATATATCCCAGTTATCCCATGGAGTAATTGGTTGATTAATCATTGAGTTGAGTACATATTTAATATTTTGGAGTTGGCTACCTTGTAGAACCAAAATGCATAATAAGATTTCGCTCTTCTATAGATCTCGGGCAAGTGTAGCATATTAGAAAGTTTAGCTTGAAACTTCGTGTTGCCGAGATCTACTCGATACCTTCATGCCCAAAACTGTGCTAATGGACAAAATTCTCACTTATGGTAGGTAATTTTAACACTCTCTCATATTAACTGTTCTCGTGGACTTTGGAGCCTCAAGGATGAGACGCATAGCTTCATTTTGCAAGGTTTTAAGAGATTCAACTCTGTATAGTGTGAGATGTAGAACATTGTAGTCGGAGCATATAAATGATGCATAAAACATTCTAGCAAGTCTCGTGTTAATTCCATGATTGACACAAATAAGGACCCTCAAGGGTTTTAATCTGTCTTCTTGAGAGAAGAAAGGTACCCAGGGTCATTAACACCAGACACCAAGGTATCTGTAAAACTCAGTTCTCAAGTGCTCGCCCATCTATATGATAATTGGGTAGTGGAATACCACATGGAAGGAGGGCACGAGTTTTCTGTACAGAGATAAGGTGGCCACATGCCTCAGCTCTAGTAGCAAAAGTGTCGAGCAGAACTTGCATTCTTGGCTTGGAGGCAGCCTGTGAACATGTCACCAGCATAAATGTCTTCATTATTAGTTGGAAGATCTTTATGCATTAGAACGTTGAATAACAAGGGGCTGAGGACCCCTCCTTGTGGAGTTCTAAGTGTTTGCTCTGTGCTTTTAACACCATTTAACAAAACATATACTGTTTGATTAGACAAATAGCCCTTTATCCATTTCAGTAATTTTCCTGTATTACTAGCTCGGCAAGGAATGGCGAGGAACATACTATATTCTAGTATGCTTTCCCTGTTTGCGGTATCAAAAGCTGCTGCTAGGTCGATGAAGACTGCTTGAGGGGAAGCTTCAATATGAGCAAAGTATTCAGCAAAAACAGTGTTGTGGGCTGAGCCCTGACATGAATCCAAACAGTTGGTGACAGGCGCCCCTGTATACGATACAAAAGTCGGTTAAGGACAATGCGTTAAGCACTTTACAAACACACGATGTTAGAGATATAGGGTCTCTAATTATCTGAATGTGGTTTGGGGATAGGAACGACGACACTTTGTCCAAACATCAGGTAATACTCCTTCACTTACTCACTCTCTCTAACACCAAAAGTGGATTACCTGGTACTTGTGAGACTAATCTCAGTAAACTATAAGTAATACTGTCCTCTCCAAAAGCAGTTGATTTGCCCATCTTTAGTATAAGATTTAATTCCCATTCAGTTACATCACCAAGATTCAACACGTCGATAGCTGTACAGGCAAGATTGATGGTGTGAGATTATCTATTTTAGAGGTGAATAGGTTACAAGAAACCTCGGTCAGGAAAGGACTAAACTAGCATCAAACTAATGCTGAGGGCAGATTATACTTTAATGACTGACCAGGGATGCATAGAGCAGCTGCAGGAGTCCAAATCCTTGGCACTCTTGAGGTTATCTCAATGATTTCGGGGCTTTTAGTGTCCCCACTGCCCGGTCCTCGACCAGGCCTCCACCCCCAGGAGGCCCGTGACAGCTGACTAACACCCAGGTACCTATTTTACTGCTAGGTAACAGGGGCATAGGGTGAAAGAAACTCTGCCCATTGTTTCTCGCCAGCGCCTGGGATCAAACCCAGGATCACAAGTCCAGCGTGCTGTCCGCTCGACCGACCGGCTCCTTATCCACTGGGTCATGGAGCTTCTGGGACCTCAGAGGGAGGTAATCAGAGTAGCTCATCACATCAAATAGAATTTATTTGATGTGTGCGGCCATGAACGCAGTTCAAATCAAAGTAATCCAGGCAACGTGAAAGGGATCACGTTTATAAGTGATAATGGCAGTCAATACTGGGTACAAGGGTTCTGAAGGTGTGAACGTAAAGGCACTTGTAGTTCAACAATTAGTTTATTCATAAAACTTAATACAGCTCAACGTAATTCACGACAAATTGAAGTAAAGGACTCAGCGTCACTGAGACTGCTAACAAACGGCGATTAGTCAACACGATTACTAATCACCGCATACTAAATCAACAATTTACTACGTTAATTCAATACACTGACTTCAAGAAAAATGAACACTGTTACACTGACGTCTCAAGAATAGTAAACACGGAGTATACTGACTCCACAAGGCACTTAACAAAGTACAGACGTCTCAAGATTAAACAAACGCAAGTATACTGACGTCTCGAGTACATAAACACAAAGTATACTGATTACTAAAGTTACTGAACAAGCAGTTACACAGACGTCTCGAGGTGCTGAACTCAAAACACTGTACGCGCTCACGGAGATCAGTGCAACAATACGCAATACACTAAACCAAAGTACACCGGGTCAGAGACCACCTAATATAATACACAGTATTATATTAGGTCAGTAGTTTCAAAGCGTTATATGAGAGTGCTAGGAAGACGGGACACCACGAGCATAGCTCTCATCTTGTAACTACACTTTGGTAATTACACTATTCGGGGGCCAGCCGGCCGAGTGGACAGCACGCTGGACTTGTGATCATGTGGTCCCGGGTTCGATCCCGGGCGCCCAGCGAGAAACATTGGGCAGAGTTTTTCACCCTATGCCCCTGTTACATAGCAGTAAATAGGTACCTGGGAGTTTGTCAGCTGTCACGGGCTGCTTCCTGGGGTGGATGTGATGTGAAAAAAAACAAAAAAACTAGTAGTTAGAAATGGTTGACAGTTGAGGCGGGCCGAAAGAGTAGAGCTCAATCCTCTCAAGCACAACTAGGTGAATACACTAATGAACACAACACGCCAACACACGTGTCAGTAAACAATAATAACCACAATACACTGACACTTGTGTCAACAATGTAATATAACCTTACTTGATATTACAGCATGTCTCCTGGAAGTACAGACAGAACGGCATGGAAATGGGTTAACCTAATGATGGTATAATATTGAAACCACACTAACCACAAATGCACACAATGACACTGTTGCAAAAGTTGCTAAATGTGGGTAATTGAAGTGTAAGATGACAAACACACTTAAGTACGCCTACAGTGGTCACACAGGACAACTGTAGAGGTGTTTACCTATCGTGCTTCCTCATGGAA